GTGTTGGAGCTGAGTATTAGAGAGCAGGGGGAGGGGTGTGAATGCAGCCTGTGTTGGAGCTGACTGAGTAAAGTTTGATTGGAATGAGAAGCACGGACAGTGAGGAGGGACTATAATTTTCCTTTTATTAAATTATTTATAAGTTACACACATCAAGGCAGCTCCCAAGGGGAAATATTCAGCCCTCACCCCCTTTATCCCCTTCACGTCAGCAGGCACTGGGCACTATGCATGCTCCATAACTTGGAGCACGATGTGGGGTCAAGAGGGGGGCAGGCAGTAAATATGATGGGATTGGGGGGGGGGGGGGGGGGGGGGGGGGGGGTGGGGGGTGGGAGGTGACAGGGACAGGGTCCAGATCGGGATGTGGACACCCGGGGGATCTGGATGGAGGGTTACAGGTGGGATCTGGATGGGCGTGACCCAGCGGGATCCAGTTATTGGGGTGAGACGCGCGAATTCCTGATCAGGGATGAGACACGCGAGGTCCTAGATGAGGGGTGTGTGATCTAGCAAGATCAGAATGGGTGGTGAGGGTGGAGGGGAATGATGGGACACTAGCAGGATCCAGATGTTGTGTGTGACCCAGTGGGTTCTGGCTGGGGTGTGATCATCAGGATCTATTTGTGGGTTTTGACCCAGTTGTTATCCAGATGGAGGTGCAAGGTCCAATGGAATCCAGATAAGGGTGTGATCCAGAAGGATCTAGATGGATGGCCCAGCAGGATCCAGGTGAGGGAAGTGACTCAGTGGTATCTGGATGGGGGATGACCCAGCGGGATCTAGACGGGGATGAAGACCAGCGGGATCCAGATGGTGTGGGGGGGGGAGATCAGCAGGATCCGGATGGTGTGAGGGGGGTGGGGGCGAGATCAGCGGGATCCGGATGAGAGAGTGACCCAGCGGGATCCGAATGAGGGAGTGACCCAGTGGGATCCAGATGCCAGGGTGGGCTCAGGGAAGCCCAGTGGGATCTTGATGCGGGCACTAGCACAATCTGGATTGGGGCTGGGAGAAACAGTGGATTCCAAGGAAAAACCTCCAATCTGAGGAGAAACTGGCAGAGCCCAGCAGCAGCACAATCTCAGTGCAGTGTGAGCTCACTACTTCCTGAATCTTTGCTGCTAAACCATTCCCTTTGAGTTACAAACAGCAAGACTTACAGCCAGAGGCAAGCTGACCCTCTGCATAAACAAAGAGCAAGGAAAAATACTTAAAAAAAAAACAAGTAAATAAAAGCTAAGCATCGCAGAACAGCTTTCCACTACAGGAAACTACATACCGGGAGTTAAAAGCACTGTCTGGAAATAGAGATATTTTCCGTCTCTCGATTTACAACACAACGCCTGACTCAAAGCTAAAGTGACACTGTACACGAGAGATGAGAGAGAGAGAGAAATTACTTCCTTTTAAAATAAAAAGTATTCTTTTCTTTCAGAAACAGAACAGAAAGTATCAATGTCGAAGTTATTCCTCAGGAGGTGTCAGAGGGAACATGTTCTTCAAAGCCCTCACTCTCACGCACCAAAGCTCGCTCCAGAATCACTCGCCCCTCTTTGTACCGCTGACTGTCTTCAGTTGCAAACTCGTAGATCCAGCCCAGCTTACTGTTGCAATTCTTGCAGCTCACGTCTCTTACCATGTGTCGCCCGGTTAGCATCACTCGATCCTGTACTTCACTGTATTGGAGGTTCACCACCTGAGGAAGAGGCAGACAGTGACTAATCTCACCCACAGCTCACAGATCCTCCACCTGTACATGATACTGACATCAGTGCAACTAAGTGCAGGACTTTCTGGCTAGTTATGCTGCTGCTGCAACAGCTCACCTTGTTAAAGAGGAAGGCTCTTCCTGTAGCCCCTGTGAAGCGTGTGGAGATTAATTCTGAGCGGTTTGTCAGGATGGTGTCACAGTTTGCACAGGAGAACAGTCGGGTGCCTCCAATATGGTCGAGGAAAATTCTACCCATGATTCCCAGCTGTGGAATGGCCTCAGACTAGATCTAGAGAGGTTAGAAATACATAATATAATCAAGCAGAGTCAGCATGGCTTCATGAAGGTTTCAGTCGTACTTGACAAATTTACAGGAATTCTTTGAGCAAGTAACAAGCAGGATAGATAAAGGGGAAACAGTGGATGTAATATACAGTGAACTTTGTATTAACCTACACCTTATGAACAGGAAAAATGATACACCTCAAATACTGCAAAGTTTACCTTATTATTCTGTTCAATTGTTGTAGTTTTTAATTTATTTACCTCAATGTAAATATACTTGTTGTTCAATCGAATGGCTACACAAAATATCAACAATTGATTCAATTTCAAGTCAATTTCTCCTCTTACCCTGATGTCCAATTAGTCAGCTGAGGGTGTGAGTGAGAAGGCTCTCTGCCAATAAGTTTTATTTAAGGCAAAGTTATAGAGTCACAGAGTCCTACATCACAGAGACAGGCTCTTTGGCCCAAACTGGTCCATGCCAACCAAAACATTCATCCACACTAATCCCAATTCCCTGCACTTGGCCCATATCCTTCTAAACCTTTCCTTTCCATGTATTTGTCCAAATGCCTTTTAAATGTTGTTAATGTACCCACCTCAACCACTTCTGCTGGCAGCTCATTCCAATAACGTACCACCTTCTGTGTAAAAAATGTTGTCCCTCAGGTTCCCATGTATTCTTTCCCTTCTTACCTTAGACTGATGTCCTCTACTTCTTGATTCCCCAGCCCTGGAAAGAAGACTGAGTGCATTCACCCTTATCCATGCCTCTCATGATCTTGTACACTTCAATAAGATCCCCCCTCAGTCTCCTACGCTGTAAAGAATAAAAGTCCTACTTGTCCAATCTCTCGCTATAACTCGGTCCCTTGAGTCCTGGCAACATCCTTGTAAATTCCTTCTGCATACTTTCCAGTTTAATAACATACTACCTATAGCAAGATGACCGAAACTGCACACAACACTCCAAGTGCGGCCTCATCAACATCCTGTACAACTGCATCATAACTTCCCAACTTATATACTCAATGCCCTGACTGATGAAGGCCAGTGTGCCTAACGCCCTTCTCACTGCCCTGTCTACCTGTGACTGCACTTTCAGAGAACCATGCACCTGAACTCCAAGGTCCTTCTGTTCCACTACACTCCTTAAGACCCTACCATTCACCATGAAACTCCTACCTGGATTGGTCTTTCCAAAATGCAACACCTCACACTTATCTATATTAAACTCCATTTGCCATTTCTCGGCCGACTTCCCCAGCTAATCAAGATCCTGGCTGCAATTTCTGATAACCTTCCTCACTGTCCACAATACCACCTATTTTAGTGTCATCCGCAAACTTACGAATCATGCTTTGTACATTCTCATCCAAATAACTGACATAAATAACAAACAGCAATGAAGCAGCACTGATCTTGAGGCACACCACTAGTCACAGGCCTCCAGTCCGACAAGCATCCTTCCACTATTACTCTCTGCTTCCTACCATCAAGGCAATTGTGTATCCAATTTGCCAGCTCTCCCTGGATTCCACTCGATCTAACCTTCCAGACCAACCTACCATGTGGAACCTTATCAAAGGCCTTACTGAAATCCATACAGACTATGTCTACCGCCCTATCCTCAACAACCTTCCTGGTCACTTGATTAAAGAACTCTGACAAATTTGTGAGGCATGATCTCCCACACACAAAGCCATACTGACTACTCCTAATCAAACCCTGTCTTTCCAAATGCATGTATATCTTATCCCACAGAATCTTCTCAAGTAACTTACCGACCACAAATGTTAAGCTTACTGGTCTATAATTTTCTTTGCAGCCCTTCTTGAATAAGGGCACAACATTTGCTACCCTCCAGTCTTCCAGGACCTCACCCGTGGCTAACAGGGATGCAAATATATCAGCCAGGACGCCCGCAATTTCTTTTCTAGCCTCTTGCAGGGTTCTTAGATATATCTCATCAGGACCAGGAGATTTATCCACCTTCATACATTCTAATATTTCCAACATCTCCTCTATTGTGATATGGACTGTCCCAGGATATTGCCACTAACTTCCCAAGTCTTCATGCCTTTCTCCACGGTAAACACAGAGGAGAAATATTCATTAAGTACCTCGCTTATCCTCCACACATACATGTTCACTTTGGTCCTTGAGGGGTCCTATTCTCTCTCTAGTTATTCTTTTTCCTTTAATATACTTAAAGGATCTCTTTGGATTCACCCTAATCTTCTCAGCAAAAGCTATCTCATGCCCCCTTTTCGCCCTCCTGATTTCCTTCTTCAGTAAACTCCTGTATCCCCTATATACCTCCAGGGATTCCCTTGATCCCAGCTGCCTGTTCCTGAGCCATGCCTCCTTTTTTCTGGTCAAAGCCTCAAAATTTCATCATCCAGGGTACTCTATTCCTACCAACCTGGCCCTTCACCCTCACAGGTACATACAAGCCTTGAACTATCACACTTTAAAGGCCTCCCACATGCCAGAGGTCCCTTTTTCTGCAAGCAGACTACTCCAATCAACACTGCAAGCTCCTGTCTAATTCCATCAAAATTTACCTTGCCCCAGTTTAGAACTTGAAGCTGTGGACCAGTTTTGCCCCTCTCCATAACTATTTTAAAATTAATTGAACTACGCTCACTGGTCCCAAAGTGCTCCCCCACTGTCACCTGAGTCACTTGTCCTGCCCTATTTCCCAAGAGTAGGTCGAGTTTCTCCCCTTCCTGAGTAGGACCCTCTATATACTGCTTGAGGAAATTGTCCTGAACACATCTAACAAATTGTACCCCATCTAAGTCCTTAACACTATGGCAGTCCGCGTCTATGTTAGGAAAATTAAAATCCCCCACAATGACAACCCTATTGCTCCTGCAAGTGTCCCCAGTCTCCCTGCATATTTGTTCCTTTAATTCCCATTGACTATTTCAGGGCCTATAGTACAACCCCAATAACATCACCATCCCCTTCTTATATAGATGCTGCAGGCGGGATAGAGAGGGAGGTAAAAGGGGTGGAGGAGTTGCATTACTGGTCAAAGAGGATATCACAGCTGTGCTGAAGGAGGGCACTATGGAGGACTCGAGCAGTGAGGCAATATGGGCAGAGCTCAGAAATAGGAAGGGTGCAGTAACAATGTTGGGGCTGAATTACAGGCCTCCCAACAGCGAGCGTAAGATAGAGGCACAAATATGTAGACAGATTATGGAAAGATGTAGGAGCAACAGGGTGGTGGTGATGGGAGATTTTAATTTTCCCAATGTTGACTGGGATTCATTCAGAGTTAGGGGTTTAGATGGAGCAGAATTTGTAAGAAGCATTTAGGAGGGTTTTATAGAGCAGTATGTAAATAGTCCAACTTGGGAAGGGGCCATACTGAACCTGGTGTTGGGGAATGAGCCTTGCAAGGTGGCTGAAGTTTCAGTAGGTGATTACTTTGGGAATAGTGATCACAATTCCGTAAGTTTTAGAATACTGATGGACAAAGACGAGAGTAGTCCTAAAGGAAGAATGCTGAATTGGGGGAAGGCCAACTATAGCAAAATTCGGCAGAAGCTGGGGAATGTCGATTGGGAGCAGCTGTTTGAGGGTAAATCCACATTCAATATGTGGGAGGCTTTTAAAGAGAGGTTGATTAGAGTGCAGGACAGACATGTCCCTGTGAAAATGAGGGATAGAAAGGGCAAGATTAGGGAACCATGGATGACAGGTGAAATTGTGAGACTAGCAAAGAGGAAAAATGAAGCATGCATAAGGTGTAGGCGACTGAAAACAGACAAAGCTTTGGAAGAATATTGGGAAAGTAGGACCAATCTGAAATGAGGAATTAAGAGGGCTAAAAGGGGTCATGAAATATCTTTAGCGAACAGGGTTAAGGAAAATCCCAAAGCCTTTTATTCATACATAAGGAGCAAGAGGGTAACTGGAGAAAGGGTTGGCCCACTCAACGACAAAGGAGGGAAGTTATGTGAGGAGTCAGAGAAAATGAGTGAGATTCTTAATGAGTACTTTGCGTCGGTATTCACCGAGGAGAAGGACATGATGGATGTTGAGGTTAGGGATAGATGTTTGATTACTCTAGGTCAAGTCGGCATAAGGAGGGGGGAAGTGTTGGGTATTCTAAAAGGCATTAGGGTGGACAAGTCCCCAGGTCCGGATGGGATCTACCGCAGGTTAAGGAGGGAAGCGAGAGAGGAAATAGCAGGGGCCTTAACAGATATCTTTGCAGCATCCTTGAGCACGGGTGAGGTCCCGGAGGACTGGAGAATTGCTAATATTGTCCACCCACAAAGCCTCACTGGATAATGCCTCAGTTAGTTCATCTCTGACTATGGCTGTGATACTCCCCTTAGTTAAAAATGCAACTCCCCCTCCCCTCTTTCCTCCACCTCTGTCCCACCTAAAAAACCTGTACCCTGGCACATTAAGCTGCCAGTCCTGTCCCTCCCTTAGCTACATTTCTGTAATGATTATGATATCCCAGTCCCACGTACCTATCCATGCCCTGAGTTCATTGGCCCTACCTGTCAGGCCTCTTGCATTGAAATAGATGTAATTTAATCCAACAGGCATTCCTCACCCTCTGTTGTGTTCCAGCCTAACCTGTCTCTTGAACTTGCTATAATATTTAACATTTCTGAAGGAGGGTCTAGGCCCAAAACGTCAGCATCTGCAGTTCCTACTATCTCTTGAACTTGCTATTTCTGATTATGGTATCTCCTCCCAGCCTTGCACTTGCCTCCCTGTTGAGGATCCCACCCATCTGCCAGTTGCATTATTATTGAGGTGATAAATGCTGCAAATCAAGTATAACAGTGATGTGTATGCCGAATTACATTTCCATTACTTAGTGTGTGTTTGTACATTGATTATGTGGACCTATTGATTATCCAGAAATAGGGGCCGAATTATAGAAATTTTGCTGTATTTTGATTTTCATAAGATATTCAGTTAGGTACCACACAGACGGGTGGTTAATAAGGTACCAGCCCATGGTGA